GTGAGGCTCAATCTAAAAAGAAAAGAAAAAAGTTGACCAACTATGCTAGAAGACTGAGAAAATAGTTACAAAATCATTGACATAAAAACGCAAAGAGAATGCAAAAATGCGAGACACGTATTACAGAAATACATCAGTTTCTAGATCTTCTAGTTGGTGGTGTTTTTTAGGATTTATTTATTCAATTTAGGAAAATATTCACTTCAAACCTATTTTTATCGTCATAATTTTGTAACTTTTTACTTTAAGGGGGCTCTCATGATTATATAAGTTTCAGGATTCACAAAGCTTGTGTAGTCCACTAGGAAAGAAAGAAAACCATCTCAGTTACCAAAAGGCTAGGCTTTTCAAAGACAGCAATGGCCAGGTGTGGTGGCTCATACCTGCAATTCTAGCACTTTTGCCTTTGGGAGGCCAAGGCAGGAAAATCACTTGAGGTTGGGAGTTTGAGACCAGCTTGGGCAACACAGTAAGGCCCTGTCAACAGAAAAGAACTTATATAATTATTTTAAAAAGACATCAAGTAGCAGGGCCAGCTGCATAATTGCCGGACCCCATGCAAAATGCAAATGTGGGGCCCCTTGGTCTTCTGAAGAATTTGAAGATGGCAGCAACAGAGCATTAAACCACTGGCAGGACCCTTCCTTGCTCAAAGCCAGCCTGACAGAAGGGCTGTGAATGGTTTTACTGTGGCTCTGGCTCTCTAGTTCCTATTTTAGCAACAAGCATCTGAGGCCTGCATTTTTTGAGACTAAACCATGGTGGTAACAGCTTTTATTATTTTTGTTTCTACCAACTCATGTACTCAGCACTGCTCTCTCCTCCTGACTTTTACTTCCTGGCTGTATTTGCATTTACACTTCTGTTTTCTACTGTTTTTCAGGTTCAAATTCTCTGGCACAGGGAGGATTAGTGAGGTTCATTAACAATTACACAGTACAAGGCACCCTGTTGGGTGGAATTCTCAAGTGCAGCTGTTTCATGGATCACTGGTGGTACGGTTTGGCTGTGTCCCTACTCAAATCTCATCTTGAATTGTAGTTCCCATAATCCCATGGGTCATGGGAGGGACCAGGTGGAGAAAATTGGATCATGGGGCAGTTTTCTACATTCTGTTCTCCTGATAGTGAGTTCTCGTGAAATCAGATGGTTTTATAAGGGGCTTTTCCCTCTTTTGCGCTGCACTCTTCTTGCTGCCACCATGTGAAGAAGAACGTCTTTACTTCTCCTTCTGCCATGATTGTAAGTTTCCCGAGCCTCCCAGCCATGCTGAACTGTGAGCCAATTAAACGACTTTCCTTTATAAATTACCCAGTTTCTGGTATGTATTTAGTAGCGTGAGAACAGACAAATACAACCAGACATCCTATAAATGGCTGCCTTGGGTCAGGTGATGATCTCGGTCTAATCGTCTTGTCACAAGGATTGTGATGTCATGTAGTGAAAAGCATGGTGACTTATTTGTTTTTAACACGTTTCCTTAGAGCTGTGGGCTTGACTTCTCAGATGGGCAGTCTGGCTGGGGAACACTGGACCTGTCCTGTCCAATCCAGCATGCACAAGGTCTAATGCTATGTGTGCTCTGGAAAAATATTTAAGTGTTTCATCTATTGCAGCAGCACAAAACTCAATCTGTGCAAGTTAAAAAATATTGCGTTCCCAAATTGTGGTGATTTGAACATGGAAAAAGCAGAACAGGAGGCCTGCTCCCTCTGAGAATCTCACCCTGCTTCCTTATCAGATTTCAGCCTTCTGCAAAGGCATTTTCAAGTGGGCCGTAATTGCCTGCCAGTATACACTCTGTGCCCTCATAAATCTTCACTAGCACAGAAAAGTAAATTGTGTTGTGTTTGAGAATTCTTTGGAAAAGTATTGCCGATGGATAGTGAGAGGGATACCAGGAAGGGGAAGGACCTGTGTTCTCAAGGTGAAAGTCATCAGTCTGAGCACAAGGGTCCAGGGAGATTTCAGGGAGGTGGAACCTAGTCCAGGAGCAGCAGCAGTGGTGCACGGTGAGATTATGGCAGCCACATCTGCAGGGTCCCACAGAGGCACTTTAACTCATGTCTATTCTAGAAGTCCGCCATAGTCTGTCTTAAATGAGGGAAAAGCATTCTATATATCATTGATCCTCAAAATGGCTGTAAATCAGAATCTCCTGGGCATGTTTTATAAATAGAAACTTTCAAAATAAAATTTCAATCAGTGTAATGGTTATGACCATAGGTCTGGAATTAGACTATTGGTTCAAAGACCACTTTCATAGCTTACTGTGTGGCTGTTCTCCGTGGCTTCATCTTCTTACATATAAAATGTTGATAAAACATCTTACCTTTCCTCTAAGAGAAGTTGAGTTTATTAGCACAGTACATAAAACTTTGGGAATACCCAATAAATCCTGATTATTATTTTACATATTCATATTATACGTTATATATATGCAATTAATGATGGAGGGGCTCACACAGAGGCTTATGCACGTGTCTACTCAGAAGCACAAGTAAATTACATCAAGATTTAATGCACCATCTGAAACAGGATACTTTACTATAAACTTGCTTTTGAAATCTGCTCTTGAAAGATGAGCAGAGCACACTTGAACATGTGTTAAAAATTAAGTAAGAATCCAAAATGAAAGCTCTTTAAAAGGAGACTGAGTTATATATGGAAGGACTTCAGATTTGACAAACAATCAAAAAGTAAACCTAATTTGTTTTAGGGAGAAAATGTTCAGAAGCTGAAAAGGTCAACTCCCGTATTCCCAAGCATGGGGGCAAAAGCAAACCCCAAGGACACAATGACTTAGTATTTCCCAAGCATGGGGGCAAAAGCAAGCCCCAAGGACACAGTGACTTAGTATTTCCCAGGCAAAAGCAAGCCCCAAGGACACAATGACTTAGTATTTCCCAAGCATGGGGGCAAAAGCAAGCCCCAAGGACACAATGACTTAGTATTTCCCAGGCAAAAGCAGCACTAACTCAGTGAGCCACCAGGAAACAGGAGAAGAAAGGTGCAACCCAGTCTCTTCTCTGGCTCCCTAGATTGTCAATTTCTGCAGAGAGCATGGACTGTTTCTGCTTCACTCCCTTGAGCAAGATCCTTCCACATCACCACGTGCGGATTAGCATTTAATAAGTGTTTGTGAAGATGACGGATGATGCGGCCAGTGCACTTGGTAATTTAGAGCAGGCTGTGTTGGTAGTAAGAGGTTTTATTTCCTTCCTGTGGAAACCCCTTCTCTGCTTGACTTTTCTTGTTGATGGTAAGCTCCCTTGGGCAGAAGACTTGTTTGTCTGTATGTTTATTAAGAGGCATTGAGCAAATTGCAACAAACTACACAGTGATAACAGTGAGTAAAAATTTCATGAGATGCTATCAAATGATTCATTAAAAGAAAGATCCAGGATATTACCACCAACTGCTACATTAACTAGTCATGTCATAACACCATCAAAATGCTAATTAGGTTGTCTGGCATGATTTGTTTTTAAAAAATAAACCCAAGTTTCCTGTACTTCTCGAATTTGGATAGTTTTCCCTCTCCTAATATTTACTTCAGGGTTTATTGGGTACTATTTAGTTCTTTTTCTTTGGATATAAACAAAGCTTTTGTGTATTCCTCTTGCCACGACCCCCATGAACTGCCAAGTAGTTTAAACTTTCAGACAGGGGTCCAAGTCCACAGAACAGTGAATTCAAACCCTACCAAAAAGTGATGAAGCCAGGTGTTAGGAAGGTGCCAGGGGGAAGAGACTGTTCATGTTGTCCTGTCTTGGGAGGCAGCCAAGGCCAACTGGCTGGTTGCTTGCAGCTGGAGAGCGCAGGTGGGGAGCACCAAGACCTAGAGCTCAAACCAGCCATTGGGATAGGCTAGGAGCTGGCAGGGGAAGAATAATAAGGGCAGGCTTACACAGGAAGGTTCTGTCCAGCAGGCCAAGTCTCAGATGCAATTGATGATAGACAGAAATTTAAGATGAAGAATGGGGGTGTCCTGATAAGTAATGATAACTCAGCAAGGAGGAATCTGGAGTAAATGTTATCCAAACTTAAAGGAGAAGTGCATCAGCCTCAGGGAAGATTATCAACAGGTAGTAACACTTTTGGGCTAAGATTTGGAGGCAGGGCTGCAGTCCTTGGGAGAAGGTCTGACGAAAACAAAGCAGGATGCCAGCCTTGGAGGGGGCAGATGCACTAGTCATTTTACCTAAGTGGCCACTCATAACAGCAGTCAAGGCCAAAGTTCAGCTTTTGAGATGCTGGGGGCCCACCATGAACGGATGATGGAAGAGAAAATGAGAGACCGCTTCTCAGATCCAGGACATCGTGTAAGTCCTGAAAGCTATCCTGAAGTCTGAGTCGACTGCAAGAAGATGTTCTGAACTCTTCAGTGTTGCTAACAGCTGGGCCAAAGTCGCTGCTTTAGGTTAAAAACTGGTAGCAAGGCTGAGCCTGCAGATAGACTAAGTGATCCCCTTGGGGACAGAAAGGGAAAGAGGCTGGTGGTCAGCATGGCCTTTGCACATGGCAGCCATGTCTCCTGTTCCCAAATTTCTGGAATCATGGAGTTGGCCATCATTCCTAAAGGCAGAAACGGTCAACATTTTTCTGACGGTCATAATGGGAGCAGCACATGTTCTGGACTTAGGCTGGCTTTGGCTCCTAACTAGGGTTGCCACAGTTAGCAATTAAAAGTGCAGGACACCCAGTTAAATGTAAATTTCAGATAAACTATATATATATATATATATATATGGCTGTAACTATGTCCCCAAAATTACATGGGACACACTTATACTAAAAAATTTATATTTTTAATTTGAATATTAAAATATTCAATTTGAATATTTAAAACATACTAACATACTATCCATTGCTTGTATAAAACTAAAATTAAATTGGGTATTCTATATATTTTTTCTGGCAAGTCTACACTTCTAACTTGTTTACTTTCTAACTACTGGAAATTGGGACAGTTAATACCTCTATTTCCTCATCTGTAGAATGAAACTGATCGAGCTTACAGTGTTGTTATGAAGATGAATTGAGTTAATACATGCGAACCCCTCCGAATGATGTCTGACACAGGGTAAGTACTCAAAAATGATGACTTTTGCTTGCTTTTTATTATTATTACCGCAGGCATTATGACTACATTTGAGAGTCTGCATTAGTAGTGATGAGTAGAATTTTTATTTATTAATTTTAATTGTTCAGAGTCTCACTCTGTTGCCCAGGCTGGAGTGCAGTGGTATGGTCTTGGCTCACTGCAACCTCTACCTCTTGGGTTCAAGCAATTCTCCTGCCTTAGCCTTCTGAGTAGCTGGGACTACAGGCATGCATCACCACGCCCAGCTAATTTTTGTATTTTTAGTAGAGACGGGGTTTCACCATATTAGCCAGGCTGGTCTTGAACTCCTAACCTCAGGAATCCACCTGTCTGGGCCTGTCAAAGTGCTGGGATTATAGGCGTGAGCTACCATGACCGGCCCGAATTTTTATATTTTTATAAAATAATTCAAGGCAAGGTTTCAGCAAAATGGTGGCATATTTTACTCATTTATTTAATTTCTATTCTCTTCCAAAAACAATTTTTATGGTTCCACAACAAAAGAAGAGCTAAGATAAACCCAAAGCCAATTGTCGCAAGAAAAAAGTAAATCATCAAGAAGTTAAGAAAGAGGCAAAGAGAAAACTATCAAGAAATTCTGGTTGAAGACACAGCTATGGCAGCTGAGTATAAAATTGAGTTCTGAGTTTGCTAATAACTCTGGAGAATAAAAGATGGTGAGAAATGGAAACACGTGCTGTTTCCAGCCTCCTTTCTCTGTACTGATGCTCCATTGTATTTTCTCCTCTAAGAAATTGCTCCACAGAAAGACTTTAAAATCCTAATCGCAACTTAAATTAATGAGTAGCTTTTTCCAGGAAAATGTCCCCTTAAACTCACTGGAGAACAAAAAAGGCTGAGTTTTTGTTAGAAAGGACTTCTGATGTTAGTGCTTTGTGGGGTAGAGAGAGTTTGGTTTGGTGTCAGTTTTTGGGTGAAAAGTTCTTCAGCCAAAGCAGTGACCTTAGCTGCTCATTAGAATCGCCTGGGGAGGGTTAAAAAATCTGGAATGCCAGGCTAGGCTATAGTGCAGTGGCACGATCTCAGCTCACTGCAACCTCCATCTCCAAGGTTCAAGCTATTCTCCTGCCTCAGTCTCCTGAGTAGCTGGGACTACAGCTGTTCATCACCATACCCAGCTAATTGTTTATATTTTAATAGAGATGGGGTTTCACCATGGCCAGGATGGTCTTCATCTCCTGACCTCGTGATCTGCCCACCTTGGCCTCCTAAAGTGCTGGGATTACAGGCATGAGACACCATGCCCTGCCACAATTCTTTTTTTTAAAGCACCCCAGGTTATCCACTTTGAATTTCCAAGATTGCGCTGGAGAAATATACCCCTGTGTAAACTATTTGTATGCTGAGACTTAGGAGACAAGGATATAATCCAGAAAATAACAGTAATAACTATAATTTTCAAATTCTCACCATATGCCTGCCATATACATACACTTTTAACCTTTACAATATTGAGGAATAAGTATTTTTATTCTTATTTTACAAAAGGGAAAACAGAAGATTGTAAATATTAAGTAAATGAGCTGCAAATCAATTGGACGTCTGATTCCCAAACCAGAACTCTTTTTAATAATTGGGCATATTGAAGAAAAGATGGAATATGCTCTTTGGGAGACCAGGTTGAGTGTCCTTCCCTTGGGCCTTATCTTCATCAATGCCTGGCCATTCTATTACATATCATTCCCTGGTTTTCATGTCCTACGTGGTCATTTGAGGCACATCTGTGCCCTAGAAATTTGTAGGGAGTGAGCTCTATGGCTGGCCTGCCCTCTAACATTTTCAATTCCCCAGCAGGCTCCAGCCCCTCCTGCTGCAGACCAATTAGCCAGAGTAAAACAGCAGACACACATATTTGGACTTTGTTGGACAAACCCGTCTGAAGACAGACTTGCAAATGGTGTGCCAGGGTTCTCTGCCTGTAATTAAGTAGAGTTTTGCTTGACAGGTTTAGCTAGTCAAGCAGGACTTGCTTGCACCTGTGCCAATGACAAAGTTTGAATGAAAAGTGGGAGCAAAATCACCAGCTCACAGCCCATTTCAGCCCTTCTTATCAGGTACTAGTAAACTATTTCACCAGGAAAGCTGTCTTTGCTAAAACAGAACACAAAACCATCATATTTTATTATTACACATGCATGAAAGAAATTGCCAGATGGATTCAGTTCTCCTGTTCAGACCTTGAACATACGTACATGTGTATGCATTCATGTCTTCATTCATTCATTGTTCACTTATTCATTCATTTATGCACTTGTTAATTTGATCACACAACCAATATTTATTGAGTGCTTGCTACAATATTGCTGGTAATGTACTAGGTTCTGGTTATTCATTAGTGAGCAAGCCAAAAATGGTCTTGTGGGCATGTCACTTGTAGCATGGAAATGGTGGGGAAACCCAGGTTGTAAACAAATAAATTATATGTCTTACCCATATAATTACCATTGTGATAGAAGCTATTAAGGAGAGATTAAATTTTTGATGGATAGATAGGTGGCTAACTCTGGGAAACCTTCTCTGAGAAAGTTACATTTGAACTAAGGTATAATTTTCCAACTCAAACTTTTTGTTGTTGTCATTTTTTTTTTTTTTTTTTTTGAGACAGGGTTCCTGTCTGTCACTAGGCTAGAGTGTAGTGGCACAATCACGGCTCTTTGAAGCCTCAAACTCTTCAGCTCAAGTGATTCTCCGGAGTAGCTGGGGCTACAGGTGTGTATCACCATGCCCAGCTAATTTATTTCACTTTATTTTTTATAGATTCTCACTATTTTGCCCGGGTTGGTCTCTAACTTTTGGCCACAAGTGATCCTCCAACTTTGGCCTTCCAAAATGTTGGGATTACATATGTGAGCCACTACGTCAGGCTGCAAGACGTTTTTGTATCATATTTTTATTGAATATTTCCCTAAACCCTTCTTTTCTTTTATGGAGAATGTCAGTTGTATATACATTTTTCTCAGTCTTTCTGATTACTTTGCATATGTAGCCTACTAAGCTAAGCATTATAGCTAACTATATTCAGAAAACGACAGCCCTAGCATCCTACAGAGGGGTCACTGTGGAATTAATTTTCCTATGTATTTGTATACATCATCCTTTCATCATCATCAGTTCTTTATTTTGGGATGCGCTTTATTGTTTGCAGAACTCTTTCACACATTAATCTTTATGAGAAGATCCTGGGCTGCTGGCCTGGGCCCAGGAATTCATTGATTCATTCTACCTTTGAACTTAAACTCTGTTTTTCCAAAGGCCCAAATATGAAAAATGTTGGTCAGATACCGTTAAAATTATATTTTTATGGATTAGGTTCTATATTCAATTTCTTCACGTGAAGATCACATGTTGATCTTTATCAGCTGATCTTCATCAACAGCCCTGCAGCATATGAAGGGCACAGCCTCTCTGTGAAATGGAGAGAAACAATGATTCTGGAGGGTGAATGTTTTGTCCAAGGTCATATGCTAGTAAGTACCTGAGACAAGAGAAGATCTCAGGCTGTTTTCACTCTTAGGCCAGGAATGTTTTATGTATAACCCCCGCCATTCTCCCAACCCCACGTACCCAAGACACACACATTTCTGTCTCCAATTTAGAGCACTTGGGGAAAGACTGATTTAGATACTCACTTTCTCTTGTACATTACCATGGATCCAGGAGAATCTGCCTGGTCTCTGGCCCAGTTGCAGCTCTCCAACCTGCAGTTAATAAATAGCTAAACAAATAAATAACCAAATTCAACAAATGTGTATTCAACAGAGCCCACTGTGTATCAGATACTGTTTGGGCACTGGTGGTATAATACATCTCTGGGGAAATAAACAGGAAAACCTGCCCTCACTGCATTTAGATTCTCCCTGGGGACACAAATCAGTAAGTGAATCAAAAAAATAAATGTAGAGTATATCAGACGGTGTGCTATACAGAAAAATAAAGCAAAGAAGAGAGTTAGAGAATGCTGTGGAGACAGGATGTTGAAATTCTAGAGATGGTCAGGAACAACCTCCTTGAGAAGGTGCCGTTTGCTGCGAAGTCCTGAGGTCGTCTGGGGAAAGAGCATTTTAGGCAGAGGGGCCAAGAGCTAAGCTGCTGGCCCAGGCCCAGGAATCCATTGATTCATCCCACCTTTGAACTTGAACTCTGTTTTTCCAAAGGCCCAAGTATTAAAAATGCTGTTTAGATACAGTTGAAATCATATTTTTAAGGCTTAGGTTCTATATTCAATTTCATTTTGGGTCAACTACCCTGTTGTGGGTTGTCCAGAAAGCCAAACCACCATGAATGATGTTTCCATAGGAAAACTGTTTCTTCCTGAGTTTCACTCATTGACTTACCAATGAACTTAAGGAGCTGATTAGTAAGCTGAGAACTGGATGTAGTCATTAAGGCGCAGTTCTCCTACCAAGTCTTCTTTCTGCCAGGACAGAACACTATTGCACGGAGCCTCCTCTGATCCTCAAGGACACACTCCGGCATTCTTTTCCTGTCCTTATCCTCTCCTCTTGTCTCTTTGGTTCCGACCTGTATTTTCCATTTCCCCTGCAGGGCTTCTCTTTTTTGCCCTTAGATCTTCGAATAATCCTCCGTGAAACCACACTGAAAGCCCTTGATTCCCTTATTCTCCTTTTTCAGAAGAGTTGCCGTCTATCTCACCTTAATTGTAGTGTCTCGCAGATTTCCCAAGGCTTTTTTTTTCATGCACACAGATTTATCTGTATTATTTTACTGTCTGCTTCTGGCATCGCAGTGCATTTAATGCCAGTAAGAAGCATTGCACCTGGAACATTCTTAGCACCTCACAGATAGATTAATGAATAAACATTGTATGCTTCTTTTTATGAAATTAATGACTACCTTCTCTCCATTAAATGTGGAATTCTTCAAGATTCTTTTCTCTGGGCCTGTTTGAAATTGATTCTATGGATTCATAAAAATCCTGGGTTTTGTTTTCCCATCCA